CTTTTGCATTTCATTTCGAACATTGGTTCCACCAATGCAGGCATGACAAGTTGCTCCCATATAATCTCCAAGAGCCAGAATTACCTTTTGGATCTAAAAGCCAGAAACCTCAATTATCATCACACAGTATTAAGGGCACCAAATTCCAAAATACTTAAGTATCTGGGTCTGAAAACTCATTTTATGCATGCACTGCACAAGTACTTCCAAGCTTAAAATAGACAAAATTGCTTCAAGATAGAATACCTTTAATGTCTTTTCTGCCTTGCCAAATTTGAAGATCCCATCTCCCTAACATCAGGCATTTACACTAAAGATTCTTGTATTATTTCATGTGTTGGAAGACATGAATAGTCAAACACTGTAATTACAATTAAAGTGGTTTCAACTCCCCATGGTATATTCTATGCCTTATTCTTGAATTTAATAAAGCTTAGTGCTTTATTATTAAGATTTACTTCAAAGCCACTGTAAATTAGCTTTGAAAAGAGCATGCAAGAGATGCATTAAAACTGCGACAAATGTTAACATGTCACTGTTTTCATGTTGCACAACTGCATTTAATGTTCAAAACTGGTGTTCACATCCAGTCAACCCTTGAAATCTGTTCCCCAAAGCTGGGAAATAGCCCTGCAAAATCCAGTTAATGACTTAATGACTAAAAAACTCCCTGCATGCACAGGCCATGAACAAAGGGGCTCTAACAGATCTAATCTACACCAAATTCAATCCTTCACAGTTGTGAAACCTGAAACCTATGCAACACGCAAGCAGTTTTTGAACTACACTATCAATACCTGTTGAGCCAGTTCTCTGGTGGGGGCCAATACTAGTGCTTGGGTCTCCTTGAACTCAATCTCCAACTGTTGCAGGATGGAAATAGCAAATGTGGCTGTCTTGCCAGTACCTGACTGAGCTTGAGCAATCACATCATACCCTAAAAAAAGTAGGATACATATTTACTGATCCCACATCAAACCGTCACTTCTAGTTCACATGTATTCCATTTGGAACATAACTTATGCCCCAATATTAAGTGATCAGCAATGAGTATTCTCTTCATTTCAGGTCAGTCCCGAAAGATGATTGCCATCATTTCACTCTAAGGAATACAATTGGGTACTTGAGTTGCTAAAGGTTATGATCCCTGGTAAATAATGACTTTGCGAATTATGAACACCTTTGTATTTTAAGGGCCTAAGTGTTTTCTTTTACCTTTAATGCAGGGGATAATAGCTCTCTGCTGAATAGCTGAAGGCTTCTCGAAACCATAAGCATAGATACCCCGGAGAAGGGATTCTTTTAAATTCATATCATCAAAGTTATCAACAATTTCATTCCAGTTGCTCTGTCAAGTCAAAGGGGGAGAAAAACGGGTAAGGGAATGAAAGCAGCTTGTCCCCAGCGTTTGATTAACCCAAAGCCCACCGTCCTTACCTCGATGACACCATCGGGGTCCATTCCCTCAGGGCCGCCATGTTCTCTGCTGGCGAAAAGCATAATTAGCGATCATGCCTTTACCAGACCACCGTACGTAACAGCTCACCTGCACCTCGGCAGCCTTCCTCCCGCGAGCGGGGCCTCCCCAAGGGCACACGGAGGGAGCGCGGGGCACAGCGCCCACGCCCGGCCGCCGGATGGGACACGAGGCCCGGCCCCCAGGCCGGAGACAAGGCGCTCGTGTTTGGGCGGCCGAGCTTCTCGCGAGAGCTCCCGCCGCAGCTCCGCCCCCGGCACTGCGCAAGCCGGGTGATTGACGCGGCCGAGCGGCCCGGCGCCGCTATGCCAACAGCTCGCCGGGGCCCTCGCTGCCACCTCGGCTGCGCTGGGCTCGGCCTCCGCCCGCACCCATCCCGCACCGGCGCCCCCAGGGTCCGGGCTTCGCAAGCCGCCCGTCAAAGCGCGGGGTACGTCTACCCTGTACGGGATGCTCCCTGCGCCACTGATGTCTGCCGCTCTCTGCACAGCAAGGGACACCTCAAAAAGGTCTTTTTGGGGCAAAGTCACCCTTTTAATCACCCCCTACAAGACCCTTGTCTTCCTACCATCTGGGGCGCTGCTCACCATGGAAGTTTCTCGAAGGACACCAGGGTGCTGTACCACCCCCAAAACGCCAATAAACCCGTCTTTTCCCCTCCATGCCATCAACAACCTTCTCTGCGCTACAAAACACTCAACACACAACATGTATATCACCAAGGGAGGGGGGGGAAACCCAAAAACCACCATACCTGTTGTAATCAGCGGAGCCACCAGACATGTCCGACTAAACCACTCAGCGCTCGACTGAAAAGACAGCAGAACCGCGCCACCCGTTTTTTATAGGCTCGTGGCCGGAACTCGTTTCTTGCGGAGGAATTTTTCTCGCGCGCTTGGACGAGCCACAAGATTTCCACCCTAAAGTCGTTATCTCCAATAAAAACCCTGTGCAAGTTGATGGAAAATTACAAATTTGACAATTGCCCGTTAGTGTAGCGGCGCAAGCGATCCCAGGGCCCCGGCGAGGAGCTGGGACTATTTGACATGCGGCGGAGGAATATTGCAGCAAGTGAACGTGAGGCCTGGCGTTCCCCGCCCGACCTGCTCCTACGGGGTTTCCGCGTCCCTGACGCAGAGGCGGGCTGGGACCCGGGGCTGCGCCGGGAGGCTGGAGCCCGAGGCTAGCTGCCCATCGAGCTGCCCGGCGCCCCGCTGATCAGCGGGGCTTGGCCGGCCACTCGCTGCCGGCCTTTGGGGGCCCGAGTGCCAGGACCTTTACATTTTACTCTAGAGGGCAATCGGGTTATTCCGCCTGTTCGCGCCGCCATTTAATTTATCGCTAACGAGCCGCCTGCTCTTTAGGCTGAGCTTTTAACCTCCATTCAGGTCATGAAGTTGTAAAGCTCCGGCTAGTGAAAAAGTCGGCCACCCAGCACGTCCCAGAAAATCCAGGTTATCGGTGCATTTTACAAGGCGAGGAAAAAAAAAATATATGGGTATCATTTGCAAATGTCTCATTCACACCCTGAAATAGTCAACTCATGTTGCTTCTTGGGGTTTTTTGCTCTCTTAAAATGAATGCTAATACATTTAACATAACCTATCAGATTTGTTTGCTCGTTAAATTATGCCTTAAAGCTTTTGGAAATGGGTCAAAGAAAAGGAAGAGTAATCTTCCCTATAAAGCAGAAATTTAAGTAGATGCTTCCGGCATAAAGCTCCACACGCTGCTTTGGAAGTAATCAGGGTTTTACTTCTATCTATATTGGTCATCTTCCCAAAAGACTAAGTTTTAATTGTCCTTCTTTGGGTTCCAGCTCATAGACACTGCTACTTCTTCCTGCTGTACATCTGGTGACTTTGAACGTACAGCCTTGGGATTAGCAGCCCAGAGCTTTCACTGTTGACCCCCCACCTTTTAAGAATGGTATAGAACAGGTTAGCTGAGCTATAAAGTCCTTAAGGAGCCTGATAGAACAGTGGGTTTGGTTTGAGACTTTATAATTAACTCTGATTCACTGAAATTGAGAGCAATACAACCTTTGCTACTTAAACATTAAACTGCATGCTTCTATGAATTCCAAAGGGGGTGGTTTATTGTTTTGTTTTTTTTTTAATTCTAAGGGGTTTTAATTGTAGCCTTAATTCAGCCCCACTGATAAATATTAAAGAACAGTATATGAACAGTGTGGATCCCAATTTTGTATGACTAGACAGAGCCCAAACAGAAAAATAGCCACAAACCGTGAAAACATGTGGTAAGGATGCATCTATCAACACAAGGATGCCAAGCTAGCAGAAGCCAGGTGAGAGGCATGGGGCAGTTCTCTTTCAGAGTCTTAAAAAAAAAAATCAATTTAGCAGATTCCCTGAATTTGAAGGCCTGGATTCTGGATCTGGGAAGGAAAGAAATTTCTTTAATAAAAGAAAAGAACATATAGACATTTCACTTGAATACAATCCTTCTGCCTAAGCTGCAAGGTATTAACAACACAAACAAAAGCACCTTGTCATCCAGTTAGTTTCACTGACAGCAACTTGAGGCTGTAAATCTTTGGGGAAGGAGTAGGAGTAGCTATTGGGTTTGACCTCCATGTTTTTGTTGACAAATATGCAATGTGCTACCTGTGCTCCTTGCCATCAAGAAAAATGTTCAATTAAGAGCAACCTGAATCCTGAGGGGGGGGGGGAGGTACTCTTACCAATTATCTGTATTACAGAAAATATTTGGCTTTATTTTTAAAAATTACTATTTAAAAAAATAAAGCAATTTAATTATTATTACTGTGGCAGTAACTGTCTATTGATATTGTTCCCCATCTACCTCCTACAACTATCAAATTCAGATTTGACATGACAGCAAAGATTATTGACTCATCTGCATCTGAAGTCTTAAAATAGGGGTTTGAGGGTGTCCTAAGTCATTGAAGAAAATATTAAATCAGAAAAACAGCCAATAGGGTGAAACCAAGCAATCAATCCGTGTGTAGGGTGAACTCAGCAGTTAGTACTTGAGTGTTTCTTTAAGTTTACCATTATTGCAAGATACTTTGGGAGATTTCCAAAGATGACAAAAGAATCCAATGCCTCTAAGAAGAATGCTGAATATCGGGGGGGGGGGGGGGTTGTGCGGGGAGAAGGGTGCAACAATGAATGAATGGAATCCCAAAATCTCTGTAGATGTTCATTGAAATGAAAAATAAACAACCTAAATTAAAAAAAAAAAAAAGAATGCTGAATATCCCATAGACTGCCAAAATTACAAACAGACATATCTTAGAAAAAGTGCAGCCACGACCACTCTTTGGAGGCAAGGACGTTGAAGCTTCAACTCCTATATTTTGGGCATGTTGTTCCAAGTAGCTGGTCATTAGAAAAGGACACCACATTTGGAAAGGTATGCTGTTGTTGCTGTTACGTGCTGTCGAGTCGTGACTCATAGCGACCCTATGCACAAGAGTCCTAAATCCTGCTCTATCCTGGGCTAACCTAACTATCTCTGAAATACCTACTCCCATTACTCCAATCACTGAATTGATCCATCTTATCAAGGGTCTTCCTCTCTTGCACTGTCCCTCCACCCTCCCAAATATGATGTCCCTCTCCGAGGACTGGTCTCTCCTTGCAATATGCCCAATGTATGGCAGACAGAAGCTTCAGAATCAATCCTCGCCTCCAAGAAACAGACCAGTTTCACCCTCTCAGGATAAACATGTTTGTTTCCTAGCAGTCCATGATATATTCAACACTCTTCCCAGCTCCACAGCTCAAAGGCATCAATTCTTTTTTGATATCCCTAGTCACTGTCCAGCTCTCTGACACATAGCATGCAATTGTAAAGACTATGACCCAGATCAGGTGCACCTAAGTCTCCAGCCTGACGTCATTGCTCTTCAGTATTCTGGAGAAGTCCCTGACAGCTGACTTTCCTAATGCAATTTGTCTCTTGATTTCCTAGCTGCTGGTACCAAATGTGTTGACTGTGGAGCCAAGCAAACTAAAACTGTTAACTATCTCAATCTCTTCACCATCCATACTGATGCTGCCATTTGGCCCAGTGGTGAGCATCCTTGTTTTCTTGATGTTGAGCTTCAATCCGTATTGAAGGCTTCAGTCCTTGACCTGTAGCAAGCCCTTCAGGTCTTTCTTAGTTTTAGCAAGCAGGGTTGTGTCATCTGCATAACGCAGGTTGTTGATGAATCTTCCATCAGTCTCTTTATGCAGATGATATGATAGTATACTGAGAAAATCCTAAAGACTCAGCAAGAAAACTACTGGACAGAGTTGACCAATTCAGCAAAATGGCAGGATACAAGATCAACATAAAAAAATCAATTTAATTTCTTCCTAAGCTGCATAATGAGATAATTTTACCTCCTCTTTGCCAATTTGGATATCTCTTTTTTTCCTTCTCTTGCCTTATTGCTATCTTTAAGACTTCCAATACAATATTCAATACTGACTCTGA